CGGGTCTGCCCAGATGGGTGCTGGGTGCCTCGGGGTGTCACGGGCGCGGGGGGGTCCTGCAGGTGAAGGTGATGCGCTGCCTAGAGCACCCCAATGTGCTGAAGTTCATCGGGGTGCTGTACAAGGAGAAGAGGCTCAACTTCATCACAGAGTACATCAAGGGGGGCACCTTGAGGAGCCTCATCAAAAGCATGGTGAGCACTGCAGGGGTCAGGGCTGCCCCCCACTGCCCCACGGCCTCGGTGGGGCTGGAGGACCCCTCTCCTCTCTCCTCTTCTCTGGCAAATCCCCCCTCCTGCCCCCAGGACAGCCACTACCCCTGGAGTCAGCGGGTCAGCTTCGCCAAGGACATTGCTGCTGGCATGGTGGGTGCTGCCGGGGGACGGGTGGGTGGGATGGGTGCTGGTGGGTGGGGAGCCACGGGGTGGGGGTGCCCCCCCACTCTCAGCCCATCCTTCCCCTAGGCCTACCTCCACTCCATGAACATCATCCACCGCGACCTCAACTCTCACAACTGCCTGGTACGGGAGGTAAGTCCCACCTTGGTGGTGCCCCCCCTGGCCCAGGTCGGGGTCTCGACCCCCTCTGTGGCTCCTCCCATGCCTTACCCCTCTTCATCCACCCAGAACAAGAGTGTGGTGGTGGCCGATTTTGGTCTGGCACGGCTGATGGTGGATGAGAAGAACCAGCCCGAACATCTCAAGAACCTGAAGAAGCCGGACCGCAAGAAGCGGTACACGGTGGTGGGGAACCCATACTGGATGGCCCCCGAGATGATCAATGGTGAGCGTGGCTGTGGTTCCAGGAGGGTGGATGTAGCCAGTCAGGGCTCTGTCCCCAAGCAGGGGACACTTGGTGGGGCAGGGACAGGATGTGTAGCATGGTCTGACCCATCTCTCCCTGTAGGAAGGAGCTATGATGAGAAAGTGGACATCTTCTCCTTTGGCATCGTCCTGTGCGAGGCAAATGCCATTGGGGTTGAGGTCTCCCTGTTGGGATTGGGGTCTCCCATTGAGACTGGCATCCTTATTGGGATTGAGGTCTCCAGTTGAGGTCTCTCCATTGGGGTTTGGGTCTTCCATTGGGGTTGAGGCCTCCAGTTGAGGTCTCCCCATAGGGGTTGGGATCTCCAGTTGATGGCTCCCCTTGGAGTTGGGGTCCTCATTGGGTTTCAGTTCCCCCTTTGGGGTTGAGCCTGCTCCTCTCTCCCCCAGATCATCGGCTGGGTGAGCGCTGACCCTGACTACCTGCCCCGTACCACCGACTTTGGCCTCAATGTCAGGGG